GAATTCGTAGATTTTCAGGATGGTTTGAAGGTTATCTAGGTAACTTGGTGGGGACAGGTGACCTGGGGACCCTGCTCTTCCGCCATCTTGCCCCTCCCTCCCAGTCACACATTTTTTAAATGTTTTTAAATTGAGATATAATTTGCATACCATACTATTCACTCTTTTAAAAGATGTACTTTAATGGTTATTAGTATATTCGCAAAGTTGTCCAACCATCAACTTTTTCCTACTCCAGAACATTTTCATCACTTCCTCAAAAAACCCTATACCCATTAGCAGTGATTCTCTATCCTCCTCTTTTCCTAACCTCTGGCAACCATTAATCTACTTTCTGTGTGGATTTATCTATTCTAGACATTTCAAACAAGTGGAAACATACAACATGTGGTCTTTGTGATTGACTTCCTTTGCTTGATGTTCTCAAGGCTGGCTCATGCTGTAGCATGGGAATCACTATTCCACTGAATGGATTGACTACATCTTCGTCCACACATCAGTTGATGGCCATCTGAATTATTTCCACTTTTTGACTATCAAAAATAATGCTACTATCATCATTTGAGTACAGGTTTTTGTGGATATGTGTTTTCAGGTCTCTTGGATATGTACCTAGGAATGGATTTGCCAGGTCATATGGTAATTTTATATTTAACCATTTCAGGAACTGCCATACTGTTTTTTCAAGGTGACCAGTTGCATATTTTTTGTCCTTTTCTCCAAGGCAGAACTTTTGCCTTTCTTTGTATTTTATATTAATTAATTACAGTAACATTAATGTTACTGTTATCTTATTATATTCAAATTATAAGGTACCTCAAAGACTTCAAGGGATTAGATGAGATATAAATATATTAAGAAGATCCAGAAATTTGCTGGATCCCTTGTTTGCACTGTACTGAGTGAAGAAAGACTTTTTGGGTTATATACAGAGAAAATAAAGATTACTTTTACCAGGATAAAAGAATTAGCTATTCCTGGGCACCTACCACATGCCAGATATTCTACTAGATACTTTACACATGGTATCTCAGTCCTTGAATAAGACATCCATGAAGTAGGACTTATCAAAGTCACTCTACTAGCAAATGAGTGTTAAGGAGCCCAGGCTCTCTGTAGATACCTCTCTGCACATGGCCTCTCTACTCATAACCCAGGGGTTCCTGGGTCCTACCCTATAGCCTGGCAACTGTACCACCTTCTTATTTCTTTCTTTCTTTTCTTTTTTTTTTTTTTTTTTTTTTAGATTTTATTTATTTATTCATGAGAGACACAGAGAGAGAGGCAGATACAGGCAGAGGAAGAAGCAGGCTCCACACAGGGAGCCCGACATGGGACCCAATCCCGGGTCTCCAGGATCATGCCCTGGGCTGAAGGAGGCGCTAAACCGCTGAGCCACCAGAGCTGCCCTCTTTCTTTTTTTAAAAAAAGATTTTTAATTTATTTATTCATGAGAGACACAGAAAGAGAAGCAGGTACATAGGCAGAGGGCGAAGCAGGCTCCCTGCAGGGAGCCCGATGTGGGACTTGATCCCAGGACCCCAAGATCACACCCTGAGACAAAGATAGACACTCAACCACTGAGCCATCCAGGTGTTCCCACCTTCTTATTTCTTGAGCTGGAGTCTGCTGCAGGCCTCTGTTTGGTCATTCATAGAAGACTAGGTCCTGCCTTCACATGGAGTGGATCCAGTGATTCTTGGGATAACAACCAGAGAAGGGCCTTGATCAATGTAGAAGTGAGCCTACCCCTCTCTGAGTCACTCCCTTTTGGAGAGAGTACTCTGATTGGAGTGGTAGTGACAGGCAATGGGCAAACACTCCTGATGGGGACATGCTCTTCGGCTTACATGACAGAGTTTTACTCCCAAGAGACATTGCAAGGTCCAAGCAGACCAAGACCAACCAGGAGCAAAAACCTAATGAGTAAACAGGCCAAAATAGGCTGTCACCGGTTGGGCAGCTATAGGCCATGGAAGGTCTGCAGGAAGCAGGGCTCCTCTTCTAGTGCTCCTCAGAGAGGTCTGGTCAGCCACCCCTTGGTTCAAAGACCAGCCCAAGAAGGGAATATGCAAATCCTCACTTCTTGCAAAGAGAAGATGGCCTGACCCATGTCCCATGAATGTCTCCCTTAGGAATTTCATTTGTAGCACTGCTTGATAAGGCCTGAGCTTTGCCTCCAGGTGATTTTTTTCTAGATGGTATCCATAGTTCAAACAGATCAGGCTTATATCCTTGCTGCCCCAGTTACTACCTACGTGTGAATTGAGGCAATTTGCTTCAACTCTTTAAGGCTCAGCTGATTATGTGTAAAACAGCAGTAGTATTAGTTTATCTTTTTTAAAAGATTTATTTATTTTAGAGAGAGATAGTGAGTGGGAGAAAGAGGCAGAGGGAGAGGGAGAGAGAAGCTCAAACAGACTCCCTATGGAGCATGGAGCCTGATGTGGGGCTTGATCTCACAATCTTGATGTCACAAACTGAGCTGAAATCAGGAGTAGGACACTTAACCACTAAGCCACCCAGGTGTCCCAGTGGTAATATTAGTTCTTTCATAATTATTGTGAAACTTCAAAGAGATAATGTATGTAGTCGAAGACCTGGCTCAAACCACCTGCTCAAAAGCAAATGTTAGCTATGGAGATGATGATGGTGACAGCAATGATGATAATGTGTCAGGAGAAGTGGCTCTCTAAAAGTCAGAGGGCAAGGAGTCGTGCTAACAAGGAACTCTTCAGATTCATGCCATCTGTGTTGCTCCCCGCAAAGACAGAGGGTTACATTTAGAAAGCTCTGTTCCCCCTTTTCTGTGCAAAGTCAGAACAACGCTGTTCTGGCCTGAGACCCGAGCTTAGAGACAGAGGTTATCCAGGAATCCATTGGTATCTCTTCTCTCTCTTCTCCTATCAGGGTCATGGAATCGTAGGGGGAGTTCCCTTGGCCTCACGATATTACAAGATTCTCACTTGGTCCTGTGCACTTGATCTTTTCTGCAACCAAATCCTCTGCTGCTTCACTGCTGAAACAATGCTTAGGGACAAAGCATCCCCCTATTCATTCCCACATCATGGTCATTACAGCCAAAGTGTTAAGAATCGTGGCAAGGTGGGTCTGCCTGTGGAATGGTAAGAGGGTCATTACTGAGGTAGGAAAAGATCTGGAAATACCACTCACAATCCTCAAAGAAGTCAAGCCCTATCTTTGGAAATTAGTAGAGAGGCTGAAAAGTGCCCTAGGTGGTTAGGCCTATTACCTACAGTCTGGAATGGGAGAGGCACACATTATTGGCCATGTCTATCAGTCTGGTGTTTAGAAATGGTTGTTCAAAAGGGAACCACTGAGGCACACATCTTAGTTATGATGAGTGAGGATGAAATGGGCTGGAGGATCAGGAACAAGTAGGCAGCAAGAATGGGAAACAAACCAACTATAATTGACCCATACCAATGGGGGATTGGGGCACTGACCACCCTTCACCCACACAGTCGAAAATCCACATATAACTTTTAATTCCTCAGATTCTAACTACTAATAGAGCCTACTGTTGATCAGAAGCCTTACTAATAACAGAAACATCCAATTAACACATATTATGTTCTATATTATATACCGTATTCTTAAAATAAAGTAAGCTAGAGAAAAGAAAATGTTATTATGAAAATCATAAGGAAGAGAAATACATGTACAGTACTGTACTGTATTTATTTAAAAAAAAAATCCTTGTGTAAGTGGATCCATGCACTGTAGTAATTATATGGCTCCTCTGGAATTTGCCCTTAATTCCTGAGCTTGTGCTCAGGGCATTTTAACACAACTGAGAAAATACTTTTTGAGAGACAAGCCTGAATGGTCCTTTGAATGGTCTGTTTTGTGTTTCCTGGGCTACTTTTCTGTAATGGTGGGCAGATCTCAAACAAAAAGCAAAGCTGTTGCCATTGGCCAGATCTCTGGCTCAGGGTCAGAGGACCAAGAGTAGACTCTGGAAAGGGCCTGGAGCTCCGTGACAACAGAAGGAGCTTGTTCTTGGACTCCCCCATCGCAACCAACCGAGAGCTCCAAGAGGCAGGCAGTATCTCTGGAAGACCTGTAACACTGAGCAGAGCAAAAGCCAGCACTCCACCCACCGCCCCCACTCCCTGCCCCTCCCCCCTCCCCACTCCTCCCACCCCCACCCCAGTGTTCTCTTTCCCAAAACAAAGCCCCACACCAAGCAAGCTTGGGCCTTTGTGGTGTCCTGGGAAAGCTCTGTGAAGTTTCCTGGGTGTGTGGCCAGCTCTAGAGCTGCCACCTGCTGGGCCAGCAAAATAGCTCCTTCTTTCTTTCCTTGGTCTGAATAGATGATGTCTGCCTGGGGCTGATCTCTGGGTAGGGTGGCCACAAGGAATTCAGCCCTGGGTGGCTGGGGTGGGGGGGAGGGTGTACCCCTCTGTGTACCTTCAGGGTCAGCTGGATCCTTTTTTTTTTTTTTTTGGATCCTATTTATCATTTCTCAGGGCCTAAGGGTAGCTAACAGTGTCCTAACACAACTCTATGAACTATGAACTTTCCACTGTTCCCCAAGATCCCTTGTCTGTTTGTTCATAGTGGGGAAAGGTGGGAAAGTCTACATGCATCGTGACCCCACAGAGCCCCTCAGAAGAGCCTCCTGGAACACCCTTTCTGCTCCTCACCCTGTGTGCTTATTTTGGAAATGTGGCTTTCTCAGAAAAGATTGCCTCTCAGGGCTGGGCATGATATTTCTGTGACATGAGACGGCCTTCAAAAAATAAATCTGTGGCTCCTTTAAAATCTCGTGAAAACTCATCCTTCTTGAAGGTGTCAAGTCTTGGGTCACTTCCCACTGTCCTTCACCATAATCATGCATCCTCTGGGCCCTAAGACAAATGCCTTTTCCCTTTCCTGAGTAATTGTAGTTCAGACCCTAACTGCCAGGTAATGATGTAAAACAGCAAATATTAAAGTGAGCTAAAATGCTAATACTCCTCCCTTGTTTTGAACAGGAACTGAAATTCTGGGCAAGTCAGTTCGTATTATATTCTCTACATTAGGAGTGTGCACATTTTTTGCAGTTGGCTACATGCTGCTGCCACTGTTTGCTTACTTCATCAGAGACTGGCGGATGCTGCTGCTGGCGCTGACGCTGCCAGGGGTGCTGTGCATCCCTCTGTGGTGGTGAGTGTGGTTCTGTCCCAGACAGCCCCCTGCTGCGGGCCAGCGGCCTGGAGCTGGAGCCTGGCGCCACCCCGCGCGGGGGCCCATCTCAGTGGAGCCCCCGGAGGCCAGGAGAGTGTTCGCCTTTCTGTGGGTGGGCCTGTTGCTGGGGTCTGTTGCTCCACACTGCGCTCCCACAGAGCACCGTTCTCAGGAAACTCGTCCCCACTGAGGCTCCCTCCACTCTCGGTTGTTGGTTGGTGATGTTTGCGGAGGTGGTACTGTTGGGCAGAGCTAGAAAGCTCTCCCTCACCTGGCTCTTTGGACAACTTTTGTCTCAGGAAATCTTTCCCCTTATGGATTCAACTAGTGTAATTTCTTTCTTTCTTTCTTTCTTTCTTTCTTTCTTTCTTTCTTTCTTTTCTTTCTTTCTTTCTTTCTTTTTTTAATATTTTATTTATTTGAGAGATAGAGCAAGCAAGAGCGGGGAGCAGGGCAGAGGGAGAAGGAGAAGCAGACTCCCCGCTGAGCAGGAAGCCAGACAAGGGAACTGGATCCCAGGATTTGGGGACCATGACCTGAACTGAAGGCAGACACTGACTGAGTCACCCTGGTGCTCTCAATTTAATACAAATTTAATACAATTTCCTCAAGTTTCCCTATCACAGGGTGATTAACATCTAGGTGTGCCTGTTTATTCTGCTTTGTCTTGAAGGTGAGAGGATTACTTTCATTTAATGAGTTTTAGAGAAATATTCTCTCCTTCCTCAATCCTGCCACCCAGTTTTGACACATTCATGCAGGTTTAAACACGTTTGGAGATACAGGCCCCAGTTTCACCCAATGTGATGATGTAGGAAATTTCAGGTGAGAGAAGACAGAATAATGGAATAAAGTCCCAGCCATACTTTCTTTTGGGAAACTCCCCATTTCTTTGTTTTGTTTTGGGGGAGGCTTATTTCCATATTTAAGCAAGAAGAAAGGGAATTGCTTTTTTGGGTGGGTATCTCTCTCTAATTCTTTTTGGTTTAGTTTCATGATATCAAATCTCCCAGCAGTGACAGGTTTCACTGAGCTGCTTGATCTCTACCTGCTTACACACAATGAAAGTTTCTTTGACCATTTTTCAATCTCATGGTTTAAACTAGCCCTCGTGGTTCCCTGTTCTTTCTACATAGCCTAGGAAGTTGCCAGAAGGTCCTTTATCTTGCTGCTACTGTTAGGCAACCATAGAGGCTGACAGGTAGCATATTTTGGCCTTGTTGGATCAGTTAGCACAGGTGGGACCACTCCCAGTTGCTGTCTTATTATCATTTCTAAGACTGCTATCATTTTTCAAAGTAAATTCTTGGCATGGATTGTGCCTGGGAGGAGAAAGCACTTTTTTCCTCCGTTCCCTGGAATTTGAGAGACAGTGTGTTAAAGGTTAGATACTCTTCTGATTTGGAGGTTTTTCTCTGGAACTCACCCTGAAGGTCAGAAAAACTTATGGTATGTAAGGACAGGCCATTCACTACACAGCTCTGTCTCCAAGGAAGCACCCCAGATTTACAAGAGCAGGGCAATTTTCTGGAATGAGAGCCATCAATATCATAATCATCAACATCTTCTTCATCACATCTTCTTTCCACAATTTCCTTGCTAACTGAATTTACTGTAAAAGATGTTGGTGACCAGAGGTTCTCTCAGAACATATGACAAGACAAGTCCAAAATTATTCTCTGCCTCCTCAGGCAAATGATGTTAGTAATCTATGATCCCTGGCTCCTGTTGCCATTTTGGTATAAGAGACCAGTATTTCTAAAATATGTTATAACCAACCTTTATTACTGTGTGCCTCTATCAGAGAGAGAGAGAGAGAGAGAGAGAGAGAGAGAGAGAGAGAGAGAAAGAGAAAAGGCCCCTGATGGACCATAAAAGATTAGTAGGGATTTCAATTTCAGCAGCTTAGACCTGTGTTTTAGATCCAAATTATTTCATCAAGGAACAAGTCTGATAGGTCAGCCCCTTCAGTTTCCAGTAAAGATGGTCCATTCCATGAGGAGCTGCCTTACTCTTGCCCTAAGGAGAGTTCTTCCTTTTGTTGTCACCTGGTTGGCTCATGAGCACTGCCAGCTGTTGGCACACTGTCCCAGGGACAGGACTGCCCCCCCCCAGAGGGCAGCCCCAGGGCCAGTGCTACAAGGCTGTGTGCTTGTCCTGAAAATTTAACACCAGTCTAATCATTTTCCTATAAAAACAAAACAGCTTTCTTAGGAACACCTGGTTCTGGAGGGTGGAGCTTCCGGAAGCCATGCTCTTCAGTCTAGGTGGGCTGGGGTCATGGGGGAGCTGGCTTCGGGCTGCTATGCTCCCTGCTACCTGCTTAGTGTGTGATAGAAACTTCCCAGCAATGCCTTTCCCCTGTTCTATTTGAATTCAGTCTGCAGAGAGGCTAGAGTGTATAGTGCTCCACTAACTTTTGAAACCATCAGCTAGACTTGATTCTCCATGCAGCAAAAAGCCATGGCAAAAGTAGAGATGGCAGCAGCCCTAAGTATGGTGGGCTGGAAATGAGAGTAGACCTACTATGCAGGGCCCTGAGGGTGGTTTGGGGATTTTTCATATCTCAAGTTCCCTTTAAAAGGTTTGGCAAGAACGGACCACAAGTATGTGTGTACAGGGTGGGGAAGGAGCCCGTAGATGCAACGTGGGGGAAGCTTTGCAATATCTAGCTGACCAAACATTAAGAACTTGAGGTTCATTATGAGCCTATGGAAAGAAAGGCAGGGCATTTCTAAGAACAACCTGGTGGGGGAAAGACATTGCTCAGATTTTTTTTTTTTAAGATTTATTTATTTATTTATTCATGAGAGACAGAGAGAGAGGCAGGCAGAGACATAGGCAGAGGGAGAAGCAGGCTCCATGCAGGGGGCCTGATGCGGGACTCGATCCGGGGACCATGGGATCACACCCTGAGCCAAAGGCAGATGCTCAACCACTGAGCCACCCAGGCGTCCCGACATTGCTCAGAATTAGAAGGGAAGTGTGCCTGTATATATACATGAAATATACAATGGCTGAAAAGTAAGAGTTCTAATTCTGCACTAACACAGTAGCCACTAGCCACATGCTGCTATTGAAATTCAAATTAATTTAAAGTGAATACTATAAAAAATTCATTTGCTCATTTACATTATTTACACCAGCTCAATAGCCACATGCAGTTTATTGGCTACTTTATTAGACAACACAGCTACAGAACACTGCAGAAAGCTTTCTCAGACAGCACAGCTCTGTTCACTGAAGGTCAATAACCTAACATCAGAGTTCCTACAGGGACCAACTAAAGGCATATTCCAAAATGGCCTAAATAGGGGATCCCTGGGTGACTCAGTGGTTTAGCACCTGCCTTCGGCCCAGAGTGTGATCCTGGAGTCCCGGGATTGACTCCCGCATCAGGCTCCCTGCATGGAGCCTGCTTCTCCCTTTGCCTGTGTCTCTGCCTCTGTGTGTATCTTTCATGAATAAATAAATAAAATCTTAAAAAAATAAATAAATAAAAAGGCATAAACTGGGTTCATTTTTCAACCCATGTGCTAGGAATCTGGGGAAGGAAGCTGAGGCTTGGCCATTTGATAAGCTGTGTTGTGTGCTGGGATTAATTCCTGTTGAGGCTCCAGAGGGGCCCATTTACTTATAGGAGGCCTCTGTATCTGCTACATGTAATTTATTTTCTAGGATGATTGAGTACTGACAGGTAAGAAAAACGAGAGCTGGAAGGAGAATGGCTAAGAAATGCTGAGAAATAAAAAGTAGGAAAGAATAGGAAAATATAAATAAATGTAAGTATGATAAAAATAAGTAGAAATAGAAAAAAACTAAAAAAATTAGGAAAGAATAGGGCAGCCCCCGTAGCTAGTGGTTTAGCGCCACCTTCAGCCCAGGGCCTGATCCTGGAGACCCAGGATCGAGTCCCACGTTGGGCTTCCTGCATGGAGCCTGCTTCTTCCTCTGCCTGTCTCTCTGTCTCTCTCTCTCTTTCTGTGTCTCTAATAAATAAATAAAATCTTAAAAAAAATAGGAAAGAAGTGAACTGTGTGCAATAAAAAAATGTTAAGTTTCTAGACATTAGAAAAAAAAAAAAGACAACACTGTCTCCTAAAAACTGATTTGGTTACTCACTGACCTGGGAGTCTGTTGAGAGCCATAGGGATAGCAGCTCATAGGAGGGTGTCCATATATACACTTTCTCCTCTGACTCCAGGAAAAACCCAAAACCACAAATGGCTCCATGGTAAAGGGCATCATCAGCTGGGGCACCAGGAATTCTCCAAGGGATGGACACACTAAAAAGACACTAGAATGTGTTTCTTTAAGAGCTTCACTGGCTATTCAGTTTGAAATGACTGTCCCCCAGTGCCTTGGCTTATGGCACCCACAGTTAATGTTACTCCTTATGGTTTGGTCCTGGCTTCAAGCACAACTGATGATCAGCCTTGTTATTTGATCAGAACTTTGAAATTTGGAGGTGCTTTATTATTTATTATTCCTGTTATCAACGGAAATCTTACGAGGCCTCCTTCCTGATTTTCTTTAAACAGACTTAAATCTTACAAAATAAAATAAAAATTTGGGGGGCAATTTATGGTGAATAGTATCAAACCTTGTGATTGTGAAAAATTATAAACCATTAAAAATGTATTCCAGGTTTATTCCCGAATCTCCCCGGTGGTTGATATCCCAGAGAAGATTTAGAGAGGCTGAAAATATCATCCAAAAAGCTGCAAAAATGAACAACATAGCTGCCCCAGTGGTGATTTTTGATCCTATGGAGGTAAGCATTTGCAGATGTGTCCTCCTAAAATCAGCTATGCATTTTTTATTTAACTTAATCCACTGTGTGCCCACTACGATCCAGGCTCTTTGTGAGTCCTTAGAGACACTGTGATGATTAAATACTGAGCTGAAACCCACCTCAGAGTGCTGTGTAGAAACTAGGTGCAATCATATATGTAAACTGCTTAGTATATAGCAAGTGTTGGTTAAATATGAGTTCCTCCTTTCCTTCAGCAAGTTTATCTCCAACTTTTTACTGGTATTGCTCCGTACCACTGGTGCACTTACATACTAGTGATTTTTGAATGTCCAGATTAAGTGGGGAAAATGTGGTTGAGGGTATTCCATTCATGGATTTCCCCACCATACTCTGAATTGTGCCAAAGCTGCCGAGGAAGCTGGGTATGCCTCTAGTCTTGGTATGTCGTGTCTAACAACCTAAAGGCGTGAAAGTGTAGGCTTGAGGGTTCACCCCTGAAGTCAGGAGGCCACGAGGAAAAGATAATATATTATGGTAGCAGCTGCACTTCCTGACAGTCATTGAGGACTCTCTGTCCATAGCCTCTGCCAGATCCTAAAGAAAATAAGAAAAATTAGATGCAGTTCCTATGCTTAAGGAGCATAGCATGTAGCTAAGAGTGTCAAGAGGATTAGATGTAACATGAATGATGCCAGGAGGGAGGGAGTGCTAAGTATCCAAGGAGTGGATGCTGTGTACCTGCAGAGAGCGCAAATAGATTGACTCAGGGCTGAAGAGGCAGGTCCAACCCAGGGGTTGGGAGACTTAGATGAATGGAGAAGATGGGGCAGGGCATTCCTGGCTAGGAGAAGGGTAGGGAATTGCTCAGGATACCTTAAGAAGACTAGGGCAGGGACACCTGGGTGGCTCAGCAGTTTAACACCTGCCTTTGGCCCAGGGCTTGATCCTGGAGTCCCGGGATGGAGTCCCACATTGGGCTCCCTGCATGGAGCCTGCTTCTCCCTCTGCTTGTGTCTCTGCCTCTCTCTCTGTGTCTCTCATGAATAAATAAATAAAATCTTAAAAAAAAAAAAAAGACTAGGGCAGCTGCAGCAACAGTATGCCTGCCCCACATTTAAGTCTGCATAGAATCAAGTCTGGCTACCCTAGAAAGCAGGACTCTGTGGAGGGTGGTGGGCATACCACGGTTCCACCATGAGGGCTTCCTCCATCCCTGGCCTTTGGGATCTCTGACAGAAACAGATATCCTGGCAATAGCTGAAGGATTCATTTCAGGGCCCTGAGCCCAAGCTCTGAGAGGGCTTCCAGTGCAAATATTTCTTAATCCTTTGCCCTTCTGATCAAAAATTTCATTCCCAGCCTTAAATAATTTATTTAAGGAGCATCCAGTGGACTCTTCTACATCTCAGGGTGGTACTGGTTGTTGGATGATATTTCTTGGCTATGTGATCTGATTCCTGTCTTTGAGGAACTTACAATTTAGTAGTGGAGATAAGACATACATGATTGAAAGCAGTCAAAAAACATAGAGGAGATAATTATGGGCAAATAAGAATAAAGTCCAGTGTCAAAGCACATGTGTCTGACAGCGCCTTGTTGTTGGTGCTCCTGTTGTTAGACACGTGGAGCCTTGACTGGACATGCCCGTTGAGGGAAGGGGAGCCTGTGCTCACCTCTACTGCTCCCCTCCTGGCAAAGGAGGTTGGGGGGGGAGGATCCTCTTTAGGAGGATCCACAGAACTCTGTGCCAGCAAATATGGTCTGCCCAGAATGACAATGGAGAGTCTACCAGGTGTCAGGCACAGTGTTCACCTTATTTGATGTTCATGTAAAGCCATAGCTAGTAAGCACCACTCTAGGCTCTTCTTTTCTTTTCTTTTTTTTTTTTTTAAGATTTTATTTATTTATTTATGAAAGACACACAGAGAGAGGCAGAGACATAGGCAGAGGGAGAAGCAGGCTCCCAGCAGGGAGTATGATGCGAGACTTGATCCCAGGACCCCAGGATCACAACCTGAGCCAAAGGCAGATGCTCAACCACTGCACCACCCAGGTGCCCCTATACAATATAAATTTTTAAAGATTTTATTTATTTATTTGAGGGAGAGAAAGAGAGCAGGAGCGGGGTGGGAGGTGGCAGGCAGAGGGAGAAGCAGACTCCCAGCTAAGCAGGGAGCCTGATGTGGGTTTCTATGTGGGGCTCCATAAGGGGCTCCATCCCAGGGCCCTGAAATCATGACCTGAGCCAAAGGCAGACACTCAAACACTGAGCCACCCAGGCGTCCCTAAGTCCTTGTTTTCAGGAGAGGAAACTGAGGTACAGAGAAGTTAAGTAATTTGCCCAGAACCACACAGCTAGAAGTCTCACTAGGCCTTTCTGTTGCCAAAGTACATATTAACCATGGTTCAAGTATGTGCTTAACAGCATATGCTTTCTTACCTTGTGTTAGAGGCAGTGGACAGAAAAATAAATATAGAGTAGTATCACCTTGGAAAGCTATCTTAGGCTTCTCTGGCTTTCCTTCTGAAGCACTTTCAACCTGCTCAGGGTGTCTGGTCCAAAGGTATTTTGGTGACTCCATACAGAGACTAGGACTGGACACAAAAATATTCTTGTCCTGAGGTTTCTAAAACTGGCTGTTATCACAATCACCCAAAAGGGGGGAAAAATCACCCAATGAGCTTTAAAAATACAGAGTCCTAGGTTTCAGGGTCCCAGGAAAGGTTCAGATTCAGCAGGCAAGGGGGGGACCTGGCAATCTGCATTTTCATAAGGGCCCTGTGGAAACACCAAGTGTTAGCTTGTGCCTGATGCACAGATCCTATACGTGCATGACACCACTTCCAGAACCCTCCGTGAAGACTTCAAGTTCCCACTAGTTTATGCAGGAGCTTTATTTGGGTTGTGATAATAGTGATATATGGCCAGGGGTATGCTCTAAAGCTGTACATTCCAAATAGTGTAGAAAAAGAAAGATAATATGTCTGCGAGCAGCAGGAGGGAGTATCTGGTTATTCTTAGAGAGAAGGATGCTTACATCTGGGGAGCATCTGCTCTAAAGGCAGTCTGGCAGTCTCACTCCCTCACAATAGACACTCCTTCTCAAGCCTCTTTATTACACACACACCATATCCCAAAAAGATCCCCTACCTCAGAGCCTTTACAAGTTTCAATAAGTTTGGTTATCTAGATTACTAACACATGGGAAGTTACCTTTAGTAAATTAAGAGTAAAGGAAGAAAGCCCATTGATAGCAGTAAGAAACTGCAACTAGCCAACTGGCTAGAATCTTTTTCTCAGTGTTGCAGTAATAGTAATAGTAATAATTACAGTTAAAACATATTGGGCATTAACCATGGTTCAAGTACTATACTAAGCTTTATATATGTGAGATCTCATTTAATTTTTTCAACTCCCAATTACTATACCTTTTTAACAGAGAAGTAAACTGATGCTCAGAAGGAGTGCATAATCACTTGCCCAAAGTCCCTCAGTTTACCCAAATCTGTTCTGACACTGAGACAACAACAAGAAAAGTCCAAAAAGCAGACATGGACCTCGAGGCAGGTTGGGGCTGTTTGGCACTACCCACTAAACAGGTCCAGAGGATCATAGCATCCTCTGCGTGATTAAAATCACCAGGGTGGTGACCATGAGTCAAGAAAAGGCTATTAGCAGTCAGGCTTTATATAAAAAGACAGTGAAGCCAATGTTATATATTTTAAAGTTTGCATCTAAAATGGGCCACAAGTATTTTCAAGTGTTAGAATTAGCATCATATAAGTAGATGTGCTGATTCCCCTCAAATTCCAGACTTCTGAGCATATTCAAGGTGAAATAGAGTCATATGCATAAGTCTTTCCCACCTTGCTGTAATACCTCCTCATTACCTCTTAATCTCATGGTTATTTGCATTATTTTAGCTTCAGGAACTAAAACTCCAAAGTCAGCAGAAAGTTTTCATTCTGGACCTGTTCAGGACTCAGAATATTGCCACAATAACCATTATGTCTTTGCTGCTGTGGTAAGTAATAAGTGATCTAGAAATGCGCTATGCAGCACACAAGTATACAACTGATTTTCTCTAATTCATAGCAACGTCAGGGCAAGGACGGACTCTTCCTAAAACAAAATTCTAAGTAATTTGGAAATGCCTCCATTCAATTCATGGAACTGGATACTAAAAAAAGTCACAGAGAACAATATTTATGTCTGCAGTACTATGGCCCACAGGGAAAGTGTCCCTCCCCTCCGAAAGCAATTGGGATTAATACTAATAAAATTGCTGAAACTGAGAGGCTAATTCAGCTTCCGCTTCCTGAAGCTGTACTGTCAACATAACAGTGACATTAGAACAACCTGAATCCCCACTGCCGGTGTGGGAGCTTTGATGAGCTTTTCACACTTGCCAATAGCAAACTACCAAGTGATTTTCAGGCGTAGAGGTAATGAATGGACTTTGTCTAGATTTAATAATGTATCTTCCAAGAAACGAGGAAGAAGAAAAGAACATCCCTACTCGCCAACAGCAACACAAAAAAATCAAAGGTTCAGAGACTGTAGTGAGTCTATTTTTAGGGCCACCCTGTTTTGCAGTTAGAAAAAAATCAATGACAGAGTTATGGCTCTGGATTTAGCAAATGTGTCCTAAGCAGGGCTTTCCTCCCTCTAGAACTCCTTACTTCTTCTAGGTCAGCATCTGTCATTGGTACAAATGTATCTTGCGCATCACTGAGCCAGTAATAAACTAGTCACTAGTTTTGCCTACAGTGCACTTATTATCAAATGTGAAACGCTAAGATCCTTAGAGCAATCAAGTTTAATTTTTTCTTTTGTTTTGGGTTAGCCCTGTACTACCCAACCTGGTAGAGTATGTATAAAAAGATCCAACAATGTTCCTGAAAACATTTTTGAGACATGAGCATTTTTGAGACATGCTCTGCTTTTCAGTCATGTTCAGTCAATTAGCAAATGTCTCTACAGAGGAGTCTGCAAAGTGCAGTTATTTTTGCCCAGAAGAGCTTTGCAGTTCTGTGGAAGTTGATTGTAATGATAGGACATGCAGTATGTACTCTGTGAAACATTGAACCATTGTGGGACTTTCATTCTTTTCCCTCAAGTGACTTTTAATAAACTGACTAGAATTCACTGAAAATGAATCCCACAGTATTTACCTATGTATCTTCATTTTTCTTTTGTATAAGAATAAAATCTGGATTTTGTATTCACTGATGTGACTGATGATCTTTCTTCAAATAATAATTATAAGGGCATGAGGATGTACAAACTGTTCAAGAAATATTGAAATTAATTAGATCAGGTTAGGTGTTATTGAATGTTGGTATATCTAAACTAGTGCTTTCTAATAGAACTTTCCACAACAATGAAATATATTATGTTTGAGTTGTCCATTATAGTAGCCACTGGTCACATATGGTTATTAAGCTGGTGAAGTGTGGCTAGTGTGCCTAAAAAACTGAATTTTTAATTTAATTTAATTTAATTTAATTGTTAATTTAATTTTAACGTATTGACCTTTAAGCAGCCATATGTGGCTAGTGGCTACTTGTAGGACAGAAAGATCTAAAGAATTTCTTGATTGTCATGGGATTATTGAATGGTTCAGGCTCTCCTTTTTTCTTTTGTCTTTCAGGATGCTAACCTCAGTGGGTTACTTTGCTCTGTCTCTCAATGCTCCAAATTTACATGGAGATGCCTACCTGAACTGTTTCCTTTCTGCCCTGATTGAAGTTCCAGCTTACATTACAGCCTGGCTGCTACTGCGAACCCTGCCTAGGCGTTATATCATAGCTGGAGTACTGTTCTTGGGAGGAGGTGTGCTTCTCTTAATTCAGATGGTACCTGCAGGTAAAAGTTAACAACCAATATTAACAACTTACCAAGAAAGATCCAAACCTTAACTAGACTAATTATTAGTCACTGCACCCTGTTTGTGTCACCTTTACATTATAAGATCTTCATAGGTCCACCAGACAAGTAATAGCTAACTACATAATCTTCTGTGGTCATAACTCCCCTGAAATGGGAGTCAGCTTTAGAGGACCAGAAATCACTGCCTGCCAGGAAGACTAAGGCTGTGAATCATCGCCTTGGTACTTTCAAACCTCTTCTCTAAGGAGCATATTACAGTGTTGCAGTGTATAGTACCTGCCGGTTCCAGTATTAAGTCCGTGATTTTTAGGGTCTGTAATCCTTAAGTAGTTAGAGCACAAGAAGATGTTTGCTTCTTTTTTCTCCTCATTTCTAACTTTCTCATTTTATTAATATTGTCAGTAGATCATTGATAACATAGTATTATACATAGAAATATATATTTCTTTAATAATAATAAACAGGATAGAAAGGATTGCTCCTTCTCGTTGAAGGTTAAGTTTAACTATATTAACATGCTAACAATTTCCATGAAACTGTTGTAACAGATAGAAGTGGACAAAGGTCCCTGAATGCATAAATGATCTTGAATAACAGTAGAACAAAACAGAAAGCAATGTGTCACTCTCCATCTTTGCTCATGTCCAGTTATTAAGATATTTGAGGAGAAAGTGTTACTTGGGGAACTTATTTTTTTAGAGCAGCGGGGAGGGAAGGGGTAGAGGGGAAGGGAGAGAGAGAAGGTTTTTTGTTTTTTTTTTAAAGATTTTATTCATTTATTCACGAGAAACAGAGAGAAAGGCAAAGGCACAGGCAGAGGGAGAAGCAGGCTCTCTGCAGGGAGCCTGATACAGGACTCGATCCCAAGACTCCGGGATCACAACCTAGCCGAAGGCAGATGCTCAACCATGGAGCTACCAGGCATCTCAGAGAGAGAGAGAGAGAGAGAGAGAGAGAGAGAGAGAATCTTAAGCAGGCAGAGCCCAACTCAGGGTTTGATCTCAAGATCCTGAGATCATTACCTGAGCTGAAATCATGAGTCAGAAGCTTAAGTGACTAAGTCATCCAGGTACCCCGGGAATATCTTTATATTCTAGAAACATTGCTATACAAGCAAAAAGGACAACAAAAGCAGCTGTTAACAAAGTCTTACTTCCAAAAGCACTTCTATTTACCCTGGGTCTCTCTTCCAGATTACAACTTCTTGTCCATTGGTCTGGTGATGTTAGGAAAGTTTGGGATCACCTCCGCTTTCTCCATGCTGTATGTGTTCACTGCAGAGCTTTACCCTACCCTGGTCAGGAACATGGCTGTGGGGGTCACATCCATGGCCTCCAGAGTGGGCAGCATCATTGCTCCCTACTTTGTTTACCTCGGTGAGATGCATCTTGTCAATTTGTTCTTTTTTTTCAAATATAAAGGAATAGATTTTTCAATGTGAAAAATGCAAACAGCACAGAAAGTACTGGAAAAAGTACAAGTTCACCTCTTCTCTCTCGGCTCCCCAGATTGCAGCCCTAGAAGTAGCTAATATTAACACTTTGGTGAGTAGCCCTTCAGACATTTTGTTTTGCAAAATATATATATATATACACACACACAATAAAATTAAAAACATAAACAAAATTATATATATTGTTTCACAACTTTTTTAACTTAGCATTGTTTCAGAATATCTTTCCATATTAGTATATAGAGCTTTTATCTTCTTTTTAGTTAGTATATGTTCTTCCAATGCATGTATATACATAATTTGTTTAACTAGGTTCAGTGGATGGACATTTAGGCCATTTCCAGGTTTTTGTTATAACAAATAACACTACAATGAACATTCCTCTATACTCCTAAGACGCTTTGTTCATTTAATTATGTACACTTGGATGCGTGGATCCTTGGAGCAATTTAATATTTTCATAGATATTGCCAAACTGGCCTCTAAATATTGTACTAATTTACAATCTGACTATCAGTATATGAGAGTGCCTGTTTCTCCATATCCTCACTAGCAATGGGGATTATCCAATTTTTTAATCATTGGTAATCTGTTATCTGAAAAATGGATATTATAGTTGCTTTCATCTCTAATTCTTTAATTATAAATAAGGTCGATCTTTTTTAAAAGATTATTTATTTGAGAGAGAGATTGAAACTGCATAAGCAAGTGCTCATGTGAGTTCAGGGGAAGGGCAGAGGGAGAGAATCTTCTGGCAGAAGTCCTGCTGAGTGCTGAGTCAGACTCAGGGCTCCATGTCAGGACCCTGAGATTATGACCTGAGCAGAAGTCAAGAGTCAGACCCTTAACCAACTGAGCCACCCAGGTGCCCCTGATTTGTGAGAGCTCTTTCTGATTAAAAGAAACTAGCTCTCTGCATATATAAATATGTAAATATTTTTCCTAGTTCATCATTTATTTTTGACTTTATGATATTTTAGGAGATTTTAGTTTTTATATAGTTACATTTCTCAATCTGGAATAACACCACATAGGGCCTTCAGTGGGTTGCTCAATGGATGTAGGATCTGACACTCCAAGCCTAAGCTCCATAAATACTCTGACAGTGAGAGATGTTAATACACCTCCTTATTCTTCCTATTTGTCTATTGGTTACTGGTTCAAACATGCACACAAATACTATATACGAATCCTTAGGAAAGGTACACCATCATATTTGCAGAGAAAGTGAAACATTTTCTTATCTTAAACATACTGCATACGTTTACCCTGAACAACCCCTAAGAAAGCACATTATTATTATGAATGATGTCATTTACCCTTTGTATCTTCCTATACTTTCAAACTATGCTCACTTGGTCTAAGGGCAGACCATTGGTACATAAGAAATGGAGGAGTCTGACACAGAGCTTTTCTATTCCACAGTAGCTACTCCTGTTAGTGACAGAGATGCTTCAGAGAAACTTCAAGATTAACATTTTCTCTCAAATAAAATTCTTGGGTATGTTGTTCCTCTGTAATCTCTGTTTGCAGAAAGGAAGCAAGATGAGGATCTATTATTCTCCTGTGCAAGTAATGCCAGATAAGGAAGAGGTGGAATGGTTCTTACAATTACATTACAAAACCAAGATACACAAATGTGCAAAAAGAAACCAAAGCCAGGTATAGGGCCCTCACTGTGCCTGACATTTAGTGATTGAAATTAGACTGAACATATTACTTAGTTTTTTTTTTTTTTTAAGTCTCCTGGCTCTTTGGACCAGCTATCCATTGCGGCCTACTTATTGGTTCAGGCAAAAGCAAAGGTCACACCAGTCATCATGGCTAGTACCTGTCCCTATGATATCCTTTTTCTCCTTATATCCTCTCATCTCTCATCTCCAATGACTTCCACCTTGAGAGGGAAAACTTGGTAGGCAAAGACTTCCATCAAAGGAACATCTGTCACACATGGTTAAATAGTGGTTTAGAGAATGCCAACTGGCATGAAAGACCTTTTGATAATGCAAAATCATGTAGGAAAATGATTATGGAAATCACAAAGGCAATGGCTTCTATCAAAAAGGAAACTGTGATATTTTGCATACCTTTTTCCTTCTGATAATGTTCAGGTTTAAAACTGCTCTCAAATACTGTTTGCCATCATTACAAAATGCTCCTTCCCAGGAGCATCTGGAGAATCCCTGTATCTAATTTTGATGTTCCTGTGCCTTATAGGTGCTTACAATAGAGTTCTGCCCTACATCGTCATGGGCAGCCTGACTGTCTTCATTGGAATCATCACCCTTTTTTTCCCTGAAAGTTTTGGAATGACTCTACCAGAGACCTTAGAGCAGATGCAGAAAGTCAAAGGGTAAGTGGAACTTTAAAAACTGATACCAAAATTCCTCAGAAGGAAGAAATATGCCAAGAATAGCCAGGAAATTTCTGAACAACCAGAGTGGTGGTCAGTAGAAAGCAGCTCTATCAGATAATAAAGTATATTACTAAGCAAAAGTAATTAAAGGTAATTAAATAATAATGATAATGATGTAAGAACAGAAATAGAAATGGTGTAGGAATAGAATGGTGTAGAGAGTTCAAAATTAAATCCAAGAAAATATGAAACTCAGTCTATGCCAAAAAGTAGCAATTCAAAATCAGTAAGGAAAATTAAACTATTCAGTAAAAGGTGTTAGAGAATTCAGCCAGCCACATTGGATAAATAAAAAACTTGAATCCTACTTCAGAATAAATACATCAAGATAAATTGCAAAGTGATTAAAAATTGAGGCCTAAAAATGTAAAATCATAAATGTACCAGAAGGATACATATATATTTTTGTAACATCAGAAAAGGCCTTTCTGAGCATGATATGAAAAGCAAAGAGACAAAGGATAAGATTGCTATGTCTGATTATGAAACTTTAGAAATTGTTGGCACAGCAAGAAAAGAAACCATAAATAAAAACAAAGGTCAAAAAGCCAGGGGGAAAATATTTGCAACACACAATATACACATGGGGCTTATACAGCTCATGTACAGGAAACTCTCAACAGTCAGTGGGAAAAAGACAGCTCAGTAGGAAAACTGGCAAAGGTCATCAACAAGCAGTTGACAGGAAAGGAAATTTCAGTGGCAGGTATATACACAAAATACAATACTTGTCCACATTTATAAAGAAGTATGAAATAAAACAATTCGACATCTTTTTTTGTTTGTTCGAGTGTGTGTTTACCTATGAGATTATGTGATTTTTTTCTTCCTGATACCAGCCACTTCTGACACTAACTAGGTGTCCTATAATTTCATTCAATTCAAATGCTAACCACCAGAGTTTGCATCAGAATCCACAGGTTTAAGAGAGTCCCACCACAAGACTGGCCTTCAGATGCCAGTGGTAAATATCAGGTCCTCAGTTATGCACACTTCTCTCCAACTTGGTTTCAAAGTCTGGTGTTTCCACAACCCCTGCCCCCCAACTCAAGTTCAATAATTTATCAGAATGACTCACAGAACTCATATACTCTTTCCTTACCGTTTCAGATTTATTATAAAGGATATATATGAACAGCCAGATGAAGAGGTACAAAGGGTAAGGTCCAGAAAGGTCCAGAGTACAGGAGCTTCTGTCCTTATACAGTTGGGGAGCACCACTATCCTGGCACATGGATGTGTTCACCAATTCAGAAGTTCTCTGAACCTCAGTAACCTCAGTGTTCAGGGTTTTGTTTTTGTTTTTGTTTTTGTTTTTTAAGATTTTATTTATTTGTTCATGAGACACCCGGAGAGAGAGGCAGAGACTAGGCAGAGGGAGAAGCAGGCTCCCCAAGGGGGGCCCAATGCAGGACTCGATCTCAAGATCTTGAGATCACGACCAACCTGAGCCAAAGGCAGACGCTCAACCACTGAGTTACCCAGGTACCCCTGTTCATGGAGTTTTATGGAGGTTTTTATCACATAGGTATGATCAATAACTAATTCAACCTCTAGCCCCTCGCCCCTCCTTGGATGTTGGGAGGTGTGGCTGAAAAGTTCCAGCTTCTAATCAAGGTCTGGTCTTTCTGGTGACCAGCTTCCATCCTGAAGCTATCAAGAGGCCCTCCCCAAGAGTAGTTGTCTCATTAGAACAAAAGACGAGTTGCTCCTATGACCCTATCTGTCAGGAAATGACAAAGGATACAGGAGCCCTGAGTCAGGAGCTGGGGACAAAAATCAAATATCTTTTTATGATATCACAGATTGGCAAACAATTAAAGACGAGTGGATTTGTAGAGGTTTAGATTCTAGAGTTGAACTGCCTGGCTTCAAAACCCAAATCTATTGCATAAATTTGGGGAAATGGCTTAATTTTCAGTAAACCTCAGGATTCACATTTATTATATGGGAATAGCTCATATGGCTATTGTGAGGTTATGTAAGATAATGTGTCTTTAGTGTGTGGCCATGAAGAACATAAATCTTTATATGAGTGGATTCTGATCCCTGACAGAACATATACAGCAAAATATGCCCCAAAAGTCGTTTTCTTCCAATGATATGACTATTTCAATACCAACTTTAGCTTGCTGAGAACTTCATATTTACCACTCTATCCTTTTCTCAGAGAAACTATAAAATTATAGAGTACAAAACTCTAGACTCCTAAGCTATTATTAGAATTATATTCATTGACTAGATAAATGTTTTTCAATGTCAGTCTGGCATTTTGGGGAGGAGAGTCTTGAATATTTAATTTTCTTCAGCACTTATTTTATTTTCAGGTTCAGATTTAGGAAAAGGACAAGAGATTCAGTGGAGAAAGAAGAAAATCCCAAAGTTCTAATAACTTCATTCTGATAAAGTTTCCACCTCACTTGGTGACCTGAAAACCACATGTATAAGACTCTATGAAGAAACCAAAGCCTTTCCTGAGGAATTGGACCAACGCTAATGATTAACACTAAGATAGCTTTGCTATTGAGAAATGCCTGTCATAGAGCACACTCTGGGCCACTCTTCCAATAATCTTCTTATTTTAAAAACCACATCATTTCTAGAGAGTCCACCTTCCTAATGAATTTGATGACATGGGTTCAGAAGATTTTTTGAAAACGTGTTGGGCAAAGACTGGTAAATCCATACAAAGATAAATACTCATTGCCAAACATACAAATACTATTCAAATAAAAAGAATGTCATTGCATTAACACAACTGTCAGGTGACAACAGTATGTGTGTGTGTGTGTGTGTGTATGTAAGGGAAACTGCACATTCAAAATTATAGTAGTTTTTGAAGTGAACTTATATACTGCCATAACTAAATGATGATTATAGGCAGTATTTCTATCCACAAAATTTTATACAAACTTTTGAAGGGAATTGATGGCAGATTTTTTAAAAAGATTTTATTTATTTATTCATGAGAGACACACAGAGAGAGGCAGAGACATAGGCAGAGGGAGAAGCAGGCTTCCTCTGGGGAGCCTGATGTGGGACTCAATCCCAGGACCCTGGGATCACACCCTGAGCCAAAGGCAGATGCAGCAACCACTGAGCCACCCAGGTACCCCGATGGCAGATATTAATAGTGTTTTACAAGTGAAATGCAGCAAGTGATCAAGTAGCCTGGCTCATATGACCTGTTGGCCTCTGAGAAGGGAACCAAGACAGCTCCCTACTACAATTTCAGTGGCTATAAACTCATGGCCTTTTGAATGGTCCACATTAGTTGTGAGTTTTTTGAGCACGTGTTTAAACTTTGTTTCTTTAGAGTGGCTGAAGAGGTATTTTGCTGGTAAACAGACAATCAGGAAAGCCACAAACCAGTTAGATGGGTAAAATGGTCTGTGTGCCCGGCACTAAGAGCTCTCAGCCCCAGGAAGAAGGCCATCCAAGCTAACAATCTTAAAACAGTTCTTTCCATTAATAGATTCCTTCCTAAGCAGAGTATGCAGCTGCTAGCCTCTCCATCCAGGAGTGCATCTGGTGGCAGTTCCACGAATGAGTGGGGGCGGGGGGGGTAGGTAATAAAGGCCACTACTGGGGAAATGTATTCTCCCAAGCACAGGAGATAAATGTCAGGTCTCAGTCTCAGCACGTTGCAGGCATGCTGAGATGACAGCAGAGCAAGAGGTTACTCTCAGAGACTGGGGCAGCATGCTCTCGTTGAAAGCGGCTTCTCTGACAGCAACTCGGTGGTAAGCTCCTGACCCTTTAAGATACCCAAAAATAAAAATCCTAAAAATAATTATGCCCAAACGTAAATGTTCACTATCTCTTAGAGGAAACTTGGATGTAACATTTTTTGACAAATAGTCCTTAATTTTTCAATTCTTTATCTTGAACTATTCTGATTAACCCCCAATTTTTTCCTCTGTTGCCCTATTTCTAACACAGATTTTATATCCTACTGACATACTGAGCCTACCGTTTGAGCATTACTTTAAAATCCACTAGAATATCCTAGAATAGTTTATGTTTTGTCACCAGAGACACAGGTGCATAGCTTCATCCACCCAGTGCTTTTACCTCCCCCGTGGATGCAGCCAGTCTGGATCACCTTTCAACCTGCTTTGCTGAGCACTAAGTAGCCTGTCCCACAGAGAGCAGGTCACGCCGCCTCCCAAGAAGCTCTTCTTAACTTCCTTCCCACCAGCAATGGCTGTTTCCTCCTCTGTGCTCTGTTACCTTCGTTGAGTTGGGGACTCTTGTCTGATTGCCCTAACCCCCAGCCTTTGGGAGGCTAGGGACTTATCTTATTTCTCTTTTTATCCTCTATAGAACTGTTTATCATAGTGTTTTCTTGCATTTAAGAAGCATCGATAAATTTTTCTTTTAGTTAAGAAACTTTATAACTTTAGTTTGGTGGAACTGTTTGTTTGATACAGAGACATTAAAGTTTTTAAATACCATATACACAATGCTCTCAAAGCTTTCTCTAAATAGAAAAAGTAAGGATGTGATGATTACCTTTTATTGCTGTTTGTACAGGAGCTTTATATTTTAAAATAGTAAGAGACAACTTTTTAAAATCTGTTTCTGTAAAGGCAACAAGTACACAGATGATCATCTCTTTGGTAGTTCAAAGACCAAGTAGATCAACACATGCCAAAATAGTATTTGGTTAAATTCAAGATCATTCTTGATTTTTTAAAATGATTTTATTTATTTATTCATGAGAGACACTGAGGGAGGGGCAGAGACATAGGCAGAGGGAGAAGCAGGCTCCCTGCAGGGAGCCCCTGATGTGGGACTGGATCCTGGAACTCCAGGGTCAAGCCCTAAGCCAAAGGCAGATGCTCAACCCAGGTGTCCCTACATTCCTGATTTTTATTTTTATTTTTTTATTTTAATTTTTAATATATATTTATTTTTTATTGGTGTTCAATTTGCCAACATATGGAATAACACCCAGTGCTCATCCCGTCAAGTGCCCACCTCAGTGCCCGTCACCCAGTCACCCCCACCCCCTGCCCACCCCCCCTTCATTCCTGATTTTTAAAAACTACATTTAAAGTTAGGTCTACAAGGCAACATCCTGCACTTGCTTGTGAGCAGCAATTTCAGACTGGCAGCCAATCTGACATTGCATATTTAAGAATCTAGTATCTACCTGGATTCTGTTAGCTTCTGAACCAATCTCTCCTCCTTGGTTCTGCTCCTTCTCTGCCTTGAGTCTATCTGTAGCACAGCAGCCTGAATTATCTAAATGAGATCATGTCACTTTTCCACTCAAAACCTTCCAATGGCATCCTCAGGTGTGCTTTTTTCCCCCCCTTTACGGTCTCACAGCACATACTTTTATTTATATGAGTTACAGTCCACTTCAGTCAGGTTTTTAAAAAAGTCAAAGTCTTTACAAGAGTCTATACATAGGATGATCACATGTCCCAGTTTTCCTAGGATAGTCACAGTTTCTGTCTATAAGCCAAGGGCGATAATGAATCACCCCTCCCCCACAGCCTTTCACTCTAAAAATGTCCCAATTTGGATGACGAGTTATATAGGCTCATCAGTTATAGGGTATTACGCATGTGTCCCCACTCTATGTCTTTGCCCAATAAACACTTACCTGACCACCCTATGTCTTTGCCCAGTAAACTTACCTGACCACCCTATGTCTTTGCTTAATAAACACTTACCTGACCACCCAGCTTTAAATCGTATCTTGTTCTCTCTGTCCTAAACTCATCTGTCCCTGGTTCATTTTTCTCCATAGTTCTTATTACCCTCTAATATCCTAACTAATTTACCTCTTCATTTTTTTTTTTTAATGTCCTGCTTTCTCATGGAATTTCCATGAGGAGCACTTCTGTATCCCCAGCGGTTAGAACAGTGCTTGGCACATAGTCAATATTTAATAAATATTTGTTTAAAAATGAATAAATATATTAAAATCATTATTATAGTTAAATTGGCAAAAGTAATTATTAGTTTTCAAACAAGAAAGCATTGGCAAATAGGGTGGTTCAATTGGTTAAGTGTCCAAGTCTTTTTTTTTTTTTTATTTATTTATCTTAGAGAGAGAGCATGTGCACAAGTGGGGGGAAGGACAGAGGGAGAGAATCTTCAAACAGACTCCCCCTGAGCAGGGAGCCTGACATGGGGCTCAATCTCATGACCCATGAGATCATGACCTGAGCTGAAAGCAGGTGTCGAAAGCTTAACTGACTGAGCCACCCAGCTGCCCTAAACATTCAACTCTTGATCTCAGGTCAGGTCTCGGCAATCTCAGGGTTATAAGTTCAAGCCCTGAGTTGGAGCATACTTAAAAAAAAAAAAAAAAAAGTTCTGCTTACAAGCAACTGAAAGAATAATAATTGAAGTGACAATGTGATACCATTTTCCATTTAACACATTAGCAAAGATTTAAAAATGATGATATTTAACAATAATGAGAGTATGATGAGATACACTTTCACATTCTTCTGGTGGGAGTGTAAACTGGATTATTTTTTCTGGAAAAGAAATTGGCAAAATGTTTCCAAAGCCTTAAAATACTTAGAATTTTTTTTTTTTAAGAGGGAGAGACAACGTGCACATGGGAGTGGGAGTGGGTGTGGGGGTGGAGTAAGGAGGAGGGGGAGAAGGAGAGAGAGAGAGAAATTCTTAAGCAAGCTCCATGCCCTACAGAGTTCAAAGAAGGGCTCAGTCTTGCAACCCTGAGAACATGACCTGAGCTGAAATCAAGAGTCAGAGGCTTGACCAACTGAGCTATCCAGGCCCTCCACAAATAGTCTAATTTAAAATTAGGCAAAAGATCTCAATAGATAGCTCTCCAAAGGAGATATACAAATGGCCAGCAAGCATAAGAAATGATGCTCATCATCACTAATCATTTGAGAACCACAAACCAAAACCACAAGACACCACCTCACACCCATTAGGATGGCTAACTATAAAAAGAGCAGAAAACAAGTGTTGACATGGATATGGAGAAATTGGAATATTTACATACTGTAGGTAGGTATGTGAAATGGTGCAGTCACTATGGAAAACAATATGAGGTTTCTCGAAAAATTAAAAATAGGATTACAGGGGATCCCTGGGTGGTGCAGCGGTTTGGCGCCTGCCTTTGGCCCAGGGCACAATCCTGGAGACCCGGGATCGAATCCCACGTCGGGCTCCCGATGCATGGAGCCTGCTTCTCCCTCTGCCTGTGTCTCTGCCTCTCTGTCTCTGTGACTATCATAAATAAAAATAAAAATAAAAATAAAAGATGAAGATCGAATCAAAGCGTTTTTAAAAAATAAATAAATAAATAAATAAATAAATAAAAATAGGATTACAATATGATTCAGCAGTTTCACAGCTGGGTATATATACAAAATAGTTCAAAGTAGAATCTCAAAGAGCTATTTGCACACTCATGTTCATCACAGCATTATTCACAATAGCTAAGAGCTGGAAGCAACTCAAATGTTCGTCAGTAGATGAATGGATAAAGAAAATGTGGTGTACATATACGATGCAACCTTCCATAGCCTTAAAAAGAAAAGGAAATCTTGTTGCATGCTATAACATGGATGAACCTCAAGGATATTATGCTAAGTGAAATAATCCGATCACAAAAGGACAAATACTGTATGATTCCATTCACATGGGGTATTTAAAATTAGTATGGTTAGTGGGTTTCAGTTTGTCAAGAAGAAGCTCTAGAGATCTGTGCATAACCATGTAAACTTACATAATACTACTGAACTGTACACTTTCAAATGGTTAAGATGGCAAAATTTAAGGTTATGTGGGTTTTTTTTTACCACAATAAAAAAAAGCTGTGTGGAAACAGTTAAATAAATAATGTGTGCTCTTCTGAAAGAATATTATTCAGCCTTTAAAAACAGTATCTGGGAATCCCTGGCTGGCTCAGCAGTTTAGCGTCTGCCTTCGGCCCAGGATGCAATCCTAGAGTCCCGGGATCGAGTCCTGTGTCGGGCTCCCTGCATGGAGGCTGCTTCTCCTTCTGCCGTGTCTCTGCCTCTCTCTCTCTGTGCCTCTCATGAATAAGTAAATAAAGTTTTAAAAAAATAAAAAATAAAATAAAATAAATTCTTAGATACTGTTTTTATTTTTTTAAAGACTTTATTTATTTATTAATGAAAGACAGAGCCAGAAAGAGGCAGAGACACAGGCAGAGGGAGAAGCAGGCTCCATGCAGGGAGCCCGATGTGGGACTCGATCCCAGGTCTCCAGGATCAGGCCCTGGGCTGAAGGTGGCGCTAAACCACTGAGCCACCGGGATGCCCTAAGAATTTTTTTTAAAGTTTTATTTTTTTAAGTAACGTCTATACCCAATATGGGGCTTGAACTCATGACCCCAAGATCAAGACTCACATGCTCTCCCAACTGAGTCACCCATGTGCTCCTAAGAATTATTTTTAATCACATAAAATACTTGTGATGTAATGCAAGCATTAAATAAACAGCACATAATAATATTAACTAAATAAAGAATGTATGCATGAATAAGCTATGTTTAAAACATGAAAAAACAACTAGAAGGAAATATTTCAAGGTATTAACAGAGGTATGTTTGGTTGGGGGATTATGGATAACTTCTGGTTTAGGTTCTTTTTTTGTGGTTTTTCCATACTTCACAAATGTTTCACAAAATATATTATTTTTTTAATGTATTACTTTTATAGTCATAAAATTAAAAAAAAATCAAAACTTTTATTAAGTGTCAACTATGTGTGAGATCTTGGGAAGCAAAGATGAAGAATGCAAAATTCTTGCTTGTAGTAGGCTCAGTGTAGCCAGATGATAAATTCCTGTTTGTGGCCTTGGCAGCTAGCCCAGTGCCCCGACCTAGGGCTGAGCTCTGTGGAGCTGAAACCCCAGTCAGTCATTTTCTCTCATCCCGACCTGGGCATATTTAGATCTCTCCTTTTTGCTTGAACAGCAGTCACATCTCCCCTGATTTGGTTTTACCAAGCCACACTCGCTCTTCTGAAGGAAATTACTTTATTGCTGAGATTATTTTAACAGATTATAAAAATGGACATAAAATGGATTATAAAAAATTATGCAGATTTGCAAAAAAAATTATAAGGATTTGAACTATCACTGCCTCTATGTTGGCACAGTAAGGTCTTAAACCTGATTTTGAGAACCTGGAGAACTTCTTTATCAAACACTGCAAATTTGACCCTCTTTGTCACTCTAATTCTGACTTCCCTCTGTGCTCCCTGTCCCTGCAAAGCCCACCACCTCACCCTCCCATTGTTGCCTTCCCCTCTACTGTGTTCCACTATGGACAGACATTTGTTGTCCTTCAAGTATATACCCCAGGGTGCTTTCTCCACATCTCTCCTAACAGAGACCTGGCTGCCCCCTGAGCACCCCGCCACTTCCGTCTTGGTCCTGTCTCAAATGGAGGCCATTTACTTCCAACTTCCTGTGATCTTCAAAGCCAGGTGAGCTCTCAGCATTTTCCCAGTTGCCCACTGCAGTTCCAGACTATAACTCTTTCACCTTCACATTCATGAAATACCTCCTTCAAGGTTTATGCTGTATCCTTTTTTTTTTTTTTAAGATTTTATTTATTTGAGAAAGAGAACACAAGAAGGGGCGAGGGGCAGAGGAAGAGGGAGAAGCTCCTTGCTGAGCAGGGATACCTCCCCCCACCCCCCGCTGAATGAAATGAGGGTCAATCCCAGGGTCTGGAGATCATGGCCTGAACTGAAGGCAGATGCCTGACTTACTGAGCAACCCAGGCACCTCTATGCTGTGTCCTTCTGGTTGCTGTTACCAACAATCTTCCCAGTTGCTTATTCACATTCTATGAACTCTCAGCAACCCAGCCTCACTTATCGATGACTTTTGTGCTCAGATGGGTAATCCTATACCTCAGTCTCAGATGCTTGACCTTTATCTGAACTTCAGTTCCTCTCAGCCTATGACACACCCTGGAGCTGTCTACCTCATTCCAATACCTTTTGTTTTCCTCCCAACCCTTCAGCTCTGACCTTGA